CAGTGAACGCACCATGGCCAAAGGCAGGTCAGTGAACGCACCATGGCCAAAGGCAGGTCAGTGAACGCACCATGGCCAAAGGCAGGTCAGTGAACGCACCATGGCTGGACACATCAGAGATTCAGGGTTCATCCCATTTTTATCCTCTATTAAGAGAGACCTTAAAAGCTTTGTTAACCTGACACTGGTTTGCAGCAGAATCTATATAAAATGGTTTAAAATGTTTTAAAATTATGTCTTATCTCCTGATCCAGATCAATTGGCTGGTTTACTGTGATCCATTCAAGTTATCTGATGCTCAAACTGGAGCAGAGTTCCACAAAAACAAAGCAGCCGGTGTCCAGCTGGATGGACTTTATTTTTTTATTTGTGTATTTGTTTATTTACTGTGATTATTATCTGATTTGATTTTTTCAGACTAATGGATTCGATTGAAGACGACTTTCAGTCCAGATATGAAACCTCACTTTGTCACTAGTGACTTATTTCTAATTCCTCTGTTATTTATTGTTATTGTTTATTTATTTGTTGTTTTTCAAAATGCTGCTTTAATTCTGAACTGGTCACTTTAAACTCTGCACTTTAGCTCACTTTATTTTTCTTATTTTCTAACTGTTTTCTACTTTAGTTCTCTTTATTTTTCTTATTTTCTAACTGTTTTCAACTTTAGTTCTCTTTATTTTTCTTAGTTTCTAACTGTTCTCTACTTTATTTTTCTTAGTTTCTGACTGTTCCCATCAGGATGAATGAGGCCCTTTTGAATCCTGAATCTCTTCCAGCCCAGAGAGGGGCGTCCTGGCTAAGTCTCCGTGGCGACGCCGGGCGTCTCCGTGGCGTTGCCATGGCGACCGGGGTGTTTCTGTGAGGACTCACCCCGTGTTTCACAGTTTTGGCAGCGTGTGCAGCTTTCTTCTTCGCGTCGTAGTGCGTGAGGATGTCGATGATGGCCATGAAGTACACCTCCCTCCTCCCAGCACCTGAACCACACAGAAACCGTCAGAAC